AAACCCTCTTTTTTTTTTAATGGTAGTACCTATGACCAATATAAAACACTGAACTTGTTTGAGGGAGGGCTGAAAAATGGTCCTTAAATTGGCTGTTTCCTTTGACTTACAGGAAGAAAAGGTGCCATGTGCTTTTTTTATTGGTGTTTTCTCATGTGTTCAGGCACAGTCAGGTCTGGATGCATTTTAGCATCAAAGAGAAAACAAAAGTCATCATTATTGTTTAGTCAAGACGATCATGAGAAGTAGCAGAAGAGCACAGGCTCATGTCTATCAGCAGTGTTTCTCGTTTGTCACCCAACTAAAATCCCACCAAAATGAGGAATTATTCCCCTATTAGTGGAAAAGCCTGAACTGCCCAACACAGACCAGCTTCATATAAATCCCTGCTTGCCCACTGCAGTACAGGACTAGGGCTGGTGTACACACTGTTCTTATGGTGCTGTGTTGGTACATAGCCAGAGTTAGAACTGGGATCATTTTCTGCACGAAGTACAGGACATTAACATGCATGTACCTAAAACCCTCATCTCCTTGGGCGCTCCTTGAAGTAGGAATTTCTGGTTTACAAGCTTCACATCTACGCTGGATGAGATCCTGGGCCTATGGGAAACAAGAAAAGGCAAAGTTTCAGCTGTGAAAAGGAGAGATTTCACTCTGAGTTAATCTGTTCTCTGTCAGATTTTCTATCATATACGTACAGCAAACAGCTCAGGAAAACCTGCTGCATAGAAGCGCGGGATCCGCTGTAGGTGCGTACGTACATGCAGTCAGAACACGGTGGTTCCTGTGCACACACTGGGGTGGGCAGCGTCACACTCCCGGTAAGGAGGTCGCGATCACCCAAACCTCACGGCCCGAAAACCTGTTGCTGAGCGCTAAAGTAAACGAAATGCCCCAGAGCAACAGCCGGTTTCAATGTAGCCGCCTTTAAAAAGAGAGAGGTTTGGATTTTAAGGTCGTTGCAACGATTTTTGCCAACACCTGCTTGCTGCAGACCTGGAAACGCAGGGGTGAGTATTCTAAGTATTCTTATTTAAGTATTTATACTCTTCTTAAGGCATCCCTATTGCAGTATTTCTAAAGCGGGCAGATGCATTCACGGTTTTACATGACAGTACAAAAGCAGAATCAGTTTGAAACCTAATCAGTTTACCGAAGAAAACAAAGCTTATTTTAGTTCTATATTCCGTGTGAACAAAAGGACATCAGGAAAAGATCGAAAACACCAAAGCGGAGCACACAGACTAGAAAGAAATAGGTGGGAACCTCAGATATAGATGAAAGCCTCCGGTAATCTTGCTGTCAGCTTTTGCCGTTGTTCCTAGGGGGGGAATACAGTGAACCTGCGTTGTTTTGCATCGGGTTTAAGAACACCTCGTCCTTCGCGTAACTCAGTAACAGTTAACGAAACCACTGTCTCCGAAGCAGTGAAAGCGGACCTCGCCCGTTCGCGTGCGAAGCCAGCACAGTCGCTGACCCGACCAATACCGTCGAGTCCCCGCCGGCTGCGGTACCACGGCCGCCCCATCCCGCACCGGCGGAGGATGAACCCGTCCCCTGCGGGGATCCCCCGCGGTCCCCATCCCGGGGATGAACTTACCGCTCTCGTCCGGAGCAGAGCCACCCGGCGCAGCCCCAGCACGACCCGTCCCGCGGCGCCCGTCTTAAGGCGTCGCGGCCGGTGGGCGCGGCGGGGCTGGTCGCACCTGGCCGCTGGGCTCCCCCCGCCCGCTCGGGCAGCAGCGACCGCCCCTTCCCCGGCGGGTCCGTCATTAATCACAGAGCTGTCGGAGGGCGGCATCTCCGCACGGCCCCCATCTTCCCCCTCAGCCGGTGCGGAGGTCCCGCGCCCGCCGTTTTTCTCAGGGTGAAGTAACGTTTCTGCTGGAGGACAGGAACACAACCGCTGCGTGGGACGGGGGGGTCCCGGGCGAGGCTCCGTCCCGCGGCCGCGGCAAGGGGGTCGGTGGTGGCTGCCTCCGGGGCCCCGACACTCCTGCGTGGGTCCAAACGCGAACGGGACTAGGCGCTGCCGGGCGATTGCAACGTGAACGGGGAGCGATTAACAGGCGGTAACGTTAATAAGAAGGGGCAGTCAAAACAAATCCTGGCGGTATAGAATCGGCCCGGAGAAACATTTTGAACGAAGCCCGATCGTGCGATAACAGGGACCCAATAAATCACGCCTCGGGGGCAGTAGAAAAACAAAAGTCTGAGCTGTTCGCTGCCGCTTTTGCAGCCGAGAAAATCAAGAACTTAATCTTTAGCGGCAACGGGGAGTCCCGGGCAGGGACGATCTAGGGGCGGGATGGACAAGCCCGGCGAGCACACGGCTGGGGGCAGCCGCTCCCGGGGAGCCGCGCACCTGACCCTGACCCCGGCCCCTGTCCCGGCCTCGGCCGCCGCAGCCGTGGGCCCCCGGCACGGCTCGGAGCGGGCGGAACGCTCCGGCCCGAGTATGTCACACCGAGAGGAACGCGCAGGAGCTGCCGGCCGGGGGGGACCCCCGGCCGTGCCCCGCCGAGGCCCAGCGGCTGGTGAATTTAAATGCTAAAGCTGAAGCTGTGCCTCAGCATCGGCCTTTGCCTGGAGCTGGCAGCCTCGGTAGGGGGTTTCCCATCTTCTGTCTGGCCTTACTGTGACCAAAGTTATTCTGTCAGTGTATACAAGGTCGTGATTATGGGCTTCACCCACAGCACAGACCATCCTTCAGCCTCCTGGTGCCTGGAAGAATGATGGCTGCAGCCTCTTGGAGGATGGTGGAGGTATCTCCAAGCATCCCTGCTGAGCCAACCTCACATCCTGGCCCATGCCTTAGTGACAAGGTTTCTAGGTTTGCCTCCAGTGCAAGTGAACATTCCCAGAACCTTTCTGCAGCTAAAACCTCTTAGAAGTTCACTTGCTGGACGCCTCTCTGCTTAGCCGGTCTCTGGGGCTCAAACAAGCAGTTCTTGAACAAAGCCCCAACTGGTGTTGAAAAGATGCTGGCTAATACCAGTTCTGTAGGGAGCAGAGCCTTGTCTTCCAGACTCAGTTTCCCTGGGGCTCCTCTTCCAGTCTGCAGCTGTCAAACGAGTGCTGACTGGGTCCAGTGCCCAGATCTGACTGGGGGCCTGCTGTCCCACACCTCACAGAGGTGTCCTGGCTCTGCCTGCCCAAAGAATGCCTGCTCAAAAGGACATCTAAGGAGACTGGGGGACACTTGGCTCCGTTAATGTGAAGGGGTCAGTGACAGGCAGGTGTCCAAACTGCCTGAGACTTCCCAGCACCTTAAATTAGCAAATCTAGGTGCTGTGCTCACCTTCACTGCCCTAATGGATTTAATGACACAAAGTTACATGCTGTTTAGACCTTAAGCAACCTGGTCTAGTGGAAGGTGTCCCTGCCCATGACAGGGGGCTGGAACTAGATGGTCTTCAAGGTCCCTTCCAACCCAAACCATTCTATGATTCTATGACTGCCCACTGTACATGCACGGAATTCAGCCTCGGAGCAGGAAACCCAGCAAAAGAGCCTGGAAGAGAGGTGATGCAACCCCTATCACCAGCTTTTGGCATCTCCAAATCCCACTTTCTGCAGGGTGCAGTTAGGGAGATTTGTGAGCAGGGTTTGGAGAGACCACCCTGGCTGCTAAGACCATTACCACAGAATATGTGCTTTAGATACATTAAAAACCCCAAGAGGTACAAAGGTCAAGACAGTTGCTCTTTTGCCTCATCAAGACTTTCTCTCACCAGAACTCCTCTGTTGTAACCACGAGTAGATCCAGTGATTATTTTCTTGTATGAACCCACTACTGAAGTCTAAAGCTGTGACAAGCTGCTGCAGCTGTTTCTTCTCCCCCAGTTAAATGCCTGAGAATTCCTTTCCTGCCTCACCTTTCGCAGTACATTTCAATGAGAAACACCAGGGCCACAGAAGAGCCATATTTCCAGTGATTTAAGTAAGACAGAGTTCTGCAAGAGACAGAGCAATGTTCTTCCAGGTGCACTTTGCTCCCTTCATGTCAAATTATTTGCTGGCTTTACAGCTACAACTTAGCAAAAAACACTCCCCTTAAAAATTCTCCTCTCTCTAGATTTTTCCATCCAGTCATAAATACAAATATTTTAATGTAAATGGTTTGGGTTTTTAAAAAAGACAGGATTTTCAGAGGCAAGTTGCAAAAATGAAGCTTGAGTGACTTTAGTATTTCATACTCCCAGCTACCACCAGCAAGTAATAATAACTTTAAAAATGTATCTAAAATACATACCAGAAAAGCTCCATTTTAGGGGGGGGGGAGGTGTACTAAGGGTTAGAGCATAATTTTTCTTAAAGCCTTAGAGATACTGAGATCCCACCACAGTTCCATTTCATACCCAAACCTATTTAAGGAAATACTTTCTGACCTGTGGATCAGAAGACAGGTGTCTTGTTTGGAAGGGTCTCCCTGACCTTGGCTGTTCTAACTGTAGGAGAAGACGAAGGAGAACCAGGGTAGAGGCAGCGCATCCCAGGGTCTCTGGCTCATAGGAGCCCTGGCTCACAGCTCTCCCCTTGCTAGCAGCCCTGTGGGAAGCACAGCACCGCAGCCAGCATGAGTATCGTGGGAGCCAAGCAGGGTCAGGGCTGTCTTTGCTGGAGCTGAAGAAGTGGGAATATTTAAGCATCAAAGACAGAGTGAAAGACTGCACTGGAGAGGGACTGCAGACTTAAAATGCTGGAGGGCTTTGGAGGAGGCCAGAGAGTGGGACTGAACATACATGTGTGCGGTGGGGATGTGGCCATATTACTACAGAATGAAAAAAGTGAGAGGAAGATTAGATCCAGTGACAGTGAGACCCACGTACCACACTGGTGCTACTTCACCAGTGGAAGCCTTTGACAGGCTAGATGTCAGCTGCTTGGCTGCAGGATTCTCTGTGGGAAACCCCACGGCCTGCATTGTAGGGGCTCATTTACTACTTGAGGTTTGGAAATCTTTATAATAAAGATCATGTTATTCAAGGGGAGAATGCCTGCAGGAGTTAAGTTTATTTGAATAGTATTTATCAAAGAGCAGTAAAATATTACCAATAACAAAATACACAAAATGTTGAAGGTGAAAAGACAGACCTGATCTCCTTATTCAGGAAAAAATCCCTTCTTATTTCAGAGAGGGTCTCAAGCATAAAGTAATAAGGTAGATTCAGATTAGACATTAGGAAGAACTTCCTCACTCTGAGGGTGGTGAGATGCTGGCACAGATTGCCCAGAGAAGCTGTACCAACCTGTGCCCTGGCAATGTTCAAGGACAGGTTGGATGGGGCAACCTCGAGCAACCTCGTCTAGTGGAAGGTGCTCCTGCCCATGGAAGGGGGCTGGAACAAGATGATCTTTAAGGTCCCTTCCAAACAAAACCATCCTACGATTCTATGAATCTATGCTGAGCTGAAATTCATACAGAGAAACTCCATTAGGAAAGGTTTTATTCCAAGGACAATTTACAATCTGGGCTTTCCTTTCCTTACCTGTATGTTTGGAATTTTCCTATATCAGGAGTCTTTTAATCACTCAAACCAGTGCAAAGCAGCCAAACTCAAGTCCCAGTTACTTAAAACAGAATTTGAGTTAAAATGAATGTGTAATACTCCCAATCCAAAAATTAATCAGCACAGGCATCATTAATCTTCTTTTACCTTCCTCTCTAACTATTCCACATTATTCACCAGAACTTGGAAAAACCCAGATGATGGAAATTACTTGTTAGGACTACAGATCTTCTCAAAAACCCATGTGCTAATAGCTACTTTTTCTTGAAGTAAGAGACTGTAAGCATGCCTCTGTGTAATTGCTAGGAGTACAGAAAGAAGCAGGCCTTCAGGTATTCAGGTCACAAAGTAGGTAAGACACTGGTTAAGAACAACTCCTTTCTTGAAGAACTGTGAGAACTAGGTAACCAGTTTAGCCTACCACGTGCAGATGTTTTTACATGCCCTCAGTACGAAAGCACTGCTCCTACATAAATAAGCAGCCCCCTTATTTTTCTGAATGCTCTTAAAAAGCAGTGTTAAGTTCAGCATACTTCACTGTGGAGATTCCTACAGGACACAAGAGGAAAATTTTTCACAATGAGAACAATCAGGCATTGGAATAATCTCCCCAGAGAAGTGGCGGATTCCACGGAGTTGGATACTTTTAAGGTTTGGCTGGACAGGGTGCTGGGACATCTAGTACAAGTCATGTTTCTCTAGAAAGGTTGGAGCAGATAATCCTCAAGGTCCCTTTCAACCTGGTATTCTATGATTCTACGATTCATTTTGTCAGGTTTTGAGATTACAGAGACACAGATAACACATCCATAGAGACACCAGTACCTTTCTTTCTAAGCTTTGAGGGAAAAAAAAATCAATAAAATAAAAACCCAGGCCAAGTCTTCACATCCTGGAACTTCTGGGTGTTAGCCTTCAACTTCTGCTGTTACTTCAGATTCCTCCTCAACCTACGTCAGAGAGATCAGAGAAAACAGATGAGACTTTCACATCAGAACCTCAGCAAAGCCCCCACTGCTCACATCTTCCTTAATGCTTCCCAGGACTACACAACACTTCTACAACAGTTCTAAGCAGTATTATCAACAGCTGCATAAGAAAACCAAAAAAGGATATAGAGATGCAGTAAAAGACTTATTTTTTTTTTTTTCCCCAGTGCCAAACCTGGGGCCAGACTAATCTGACTTGACCTAATCTAATCACTGGGGCATTACACATTCCTTTATTAAAAAATTGATTGATTTTTTCCACACATAAAAATGGTGATAGTCAACACATAAATTTGTATAAAGAACGACAATTTTCAAGTTCCATAAGAAACAAAATCTTAGTAATAATCAAAGCAATTTCTCATACAAATGAAATCAGATAAGCCTCAGTCTTTTATTCCAAAACATTTTTCTACGAACTATGTGTAAGTGATTATACCAAACTTTCCTGGGCATGTAATTAGTGATTACTATGACAGCATAATATATTAACTCTCCAGGAAAGGAAGAGCTTATTGCTTATTGCATCCATTTTGAATGAAAGTATTAGTCTATTACATGGATCATTTCACAGCTGGCTCAGATTTATCTAGAGTTTGATGCAGCAATTAATTCTGCTCAGAATTAAGGGAACAGAAAGAAGTAGTCAAGTCACTTCTGTAGTCTCTGGTTACAGTGTTACATGATTGCAGAGGTAACACTGATCTTTTTTTGGCAGTGAACTCCTAGAGTCCTTCAAGGCCATAAAACCTCAGTAGTTTGTTTTTTAACCTAGCAAAATGTATTATTTAGAGTTACAACATATAACATTTATGATTTAGTGCCTGTGAATAAGCAAGTTCATATATTACCTGATTCTCCTCAGAGCTGTCAGGATAGCTACTTTGTACAGCACGCCAAGATAAAAAAATCACAAGAAAACCAAGGAAGAACCTTTCAGATCCCCTTATCTTTATCAGTTACACTCTGAATTAGTTACATGCTTTCCCATATTAATAGATCATGTGTCTGAATCCTCATTCTGAAGAATCAGTGGGCACACTAACTAAATTAGTTGGCTGTTTTTTTCCCTTTCTGCCCCTGTCTCAGAACTTTTGGATTGTATAGCTTTTATAGCTGTAGCACAGGCAGTTCTATGCACTGCTTTGTACCTGCATATAGAAAGAAATAATATGGCATTAAAATAACTTACACCTTGCACTAGTTTTAATGCGTCATTCAAGAAAAATAGTGGTTTTTCATTGGTTACTGAAGTTCAAGCGTCAACTTTAGGTCAGTAACTAAAACACTGTGTGTGCACACAGTGATGACAATGCTTATGTATCACAGAATCAGAATAGTTTGGGCTGGAAGGGACCCTAAGATCATCTAGTATATCTGGTACCTATAAATCTATTCTGATTATGGTCAGAGCAGTACCAAGGAGAGGTGTTCAGGCACGGAGGCCTTATTTCTTTCCCTTTTGGTACTTCTAGCACACCAAAAAGCTACAACAGTACTGCAGGTGCTCTGGAGGCATCAGAACCGTTACTGGCAAGGCCTGATCTCACACCTCCTAAGTCCCAAGCACAGTTTTTGGTGGGGGGAAATACTACCAACAATAGATGATGACTAATTCAGGAGCCACTAAGACCAATCTGACATATCCAAGTCTTTGCAACTGGATGGGCTGCATCCCAGCGTGCCAGAAGTGTTGCTAAGGAATTAGTGGTTGTAACACTGTCCTCCAAAAAATGTCACATCTCAACTTGCCAGATAAGGGCACAATTATTCTGGTTTCACCTCAGGTTTGTTAAAACAGCTGCATATGGGAGTATGCCTTCACAATGTGTGATAGGATACAGGAAGGCAAATACTGAAACAGTGTTTATATCACTTCAGTAAATTAGTTTATTGGAACTGACTTCAACTGAATTGCTTCCAGGGTTATACTGAAGTGGTTAAAGAATTTATTTATATATCCCCATTTAAGTAGCATTCTTTATTTTAACCTCAAATTACTTTTAAATTCTCCATGCAGTCTGCTTTAAAAACCTGAAGACGCAGCATTATTTTTTTCACTTGGTTGATCTGATTTATGCTTTGTGTATATAGAAGTGATTTTTATAACTCTGTATATTAGATACACAATAAAAAGTGTGCAATGTTAACACAGCAGCCTAAAAATGTTGTGAAGTTTTGAGTTTGTATCTCAACTGTAGCCTGTAAAAGGTCTGGCAACAGGATAGGAATAGAGTAAATAGTGCCTACTGGATGTCTGTTTCATTTATCCAACAACAGTTACAGTGAACACACAACACCTGAAAAATAAATATGCAAAGACTTGGGTCTGCTTTTTGTTTATGTTACCATTCTACAGTAGTACTTTGTTCCTGATACAGTTTTGATGGAGCCACTTACAAGATGCAGCTCACTCTGAAGTCACTACTAGTTTGCGCTGTATATGAATTCTGTTAAATGTTATTGACCTATGACTGGACTTGATGAGCTTTAGGGTCTTGTCCAACCTAAATGATTCTAAATATTAATGTATTTTATGTACAACTTTTCAGACAGTCTGAGTTTCAACATTCTTGAAAGTGCATTACAGCCTGCAGACTCAGATGTACCCTGGTAGTTTTTAGACCCACTGCTGGCTGACAAGCTGCATGTGCCATTTGATTTTCTAAAGCTCTGAGAAATAACCTGTATCTCCTGGAAAAGGTAGTAGATTGAAAAGAATGTGGAATGCGTCTGCATGGTATCTGGCCATCCAGACATGTAGGAGTACATGTGGTCTAGCTGGCAATCTAATCATCAGGAGGTGCGCACTCCCTCTCAACAATTTGGAAAAGCATTTATTCTTTTCAAGGGCAAAGGGTTCTGTCGGTGCATGTGTTCTGTTGGTGTATTTTAGTTCCTTTCTCTTTCACAATTTTGTGCCAGCAGCACAGCAGCACAGAGCACTGGAGAGGGGAGGCATGGACATGGCCAAAAAGGGATGCCTTTTAATACTGGTTTTAGGATGCTGAATGATGTGTCAGTGTTAAGTACTACAGATTTGGCATATATTAAAACTACATATCTGGTTTTGTTTTTAAATTACCACTACTGAAATGTAGGTTTATATAGAAGATAATGCCATCTCTATGTCATCTTGCATGCTTGTAATGACAGAGTTGAATTCTTCCTCGTAAATAGATTATGAATCATCCAGGCAGAATCATCAAACACCACATTCAGCAAGGCTGTAAACATGGATACAGAAAATACCATGAAGATACACATTACTGTAATGTTAATTGTGATGCTACAGAAGCACTTAATTCACCTTTGTAGGTAGTACATACCCTCCAGAAAAAAGAGAATCAACCACTAAATTGTGTGAATTGCCCTCTGAAACCTTACAAGGGCCACAATAACCAGAAACTGCTAGTACCTGACCTCCATTCAAACAGCTCTGATTCAGCAACAATTTTCATTTCAGAACTTCACTCCATCTCTTTATCAAACTTACACTTTATCTCACGTTACAGTGACTCCTTTCATATCCTGTGTCATGGCTGAATAACTCAATGAGAAGTAAATTCCTTACATTTCTCTTCCACAGCTTCACCACTACTTGCTGATAGATATTTTCTAGACCTCACTGAGGTGACTTCTACATTTTTCCTTCAACACCTTCACCAAGGAAAGGCGGTGGGTCAGCCTATAGATGCTGGACCAGGCACTCCAGGTCTGTTCAAAACATGCTTTCAGCTCTGCCAGACTACTCTAGCTGGTATCCAAATATCTAATGCACCTAATTCTGAATTCAGTTTTAGTGCTTGTAGGTTATTCAGTGGATAAAACTCGCTGTAGGATGCACAGCTGAAACTGCACTGGTTTGTATCTTAGTTCTGTATTTCTTCTTGTCCTGAAGCCAAGGCTAAAAGTATTTTTTATTTTTGAATTTTCAGAAGTTTGCTGGAATTGATATTAGTAGGAGAACAAGATTTAGGTCACCTGGAGGTAACATATTCCCCCATGGTTCTCTCAAATAAGAGAACTATATTCTGTAATAAGAAATAAACATAAGATTGTAAAAGTTACAGTTTGGGTATGCAATCTTTATAGCTTGTATCAGCCCCCCCCCCCCCCAAACTGTCATATAACAGGCCTTAATAATTCTAGTTATTGTAATGCCAGTTAGATTCATATAAACAAAAGCCCAATACACATGCAGAACACCTACATTCTGTTATCAAATATACATTACTTTATAAAGATTTCAGACCACACAAATCACCTCTGCTCAAGGCATTTCTAAATATTTCATAAATAAATACATACAATGGTGATAGAATCACCTGCCAAAGCAGCTAAGAAGAGGAAGAAGTAACATTGCTCACTTCCCTTTGAACTACAACTTGAGCTACACAGGATGTGTATGGTGGCTCAGAGAGTGGCTTATGATTAGTTGCACAATACAGTGTACTTACTATATGCTGACTGCATTATTTAAAGATATAAACATATTGCTAATCACATCACATATACTGGAGAGACAAAAGGTGACTTTCCCACCAAATTCTGAATTGCTACAATATTGCTATGAATACCTATTATGATACTTAATTCCATGAGTAAGGAAATGTGGGCAGAAACTGCTGGTTACAGGTTAAGTTTACAACATCGAAATTTCAACAACTTCTCTATTTAGGGAAAATTCATATTCATGCATCCCATTGGAAGGTATTAGGTATCTTTAAAATAGTTAAGAGATTTGTTTTCTTTTAATTACTTCCTGCCAATATCCATAATTCTCTCTAAATGTTCAAAACTAACTTAAAATCCAATATAAATTTGCTATTGTTTTTATATCACCCAGAAAGAAAGATTAATGACATATTTCAGTAATCTAGTAATAACTGGCTTTGTTTCATTGTTCAAGCTGTATGTAATCCTCAGTGGATCTTAGATATAGGTTAAAAAGGCATTTAATGCCTGTTTTTCAGTTGCCAAGGTCAAACATCACCTAGCATGTATAGGGAAAGAGGAAACATCTGTTGGAATAATTTATTTGACTAACAGAAAGGTTAGAATTCAAATTCACTAATTTCTTTGGTCCAATACTGAATTTCATTAAACAATACAAGTATTTGTTCAGTTCCTCATTTTACATGTGGGCACATTTATGCATATCCCTAATTACTGGGTCTGGCAAGGGAATACTGTGATTTGTCATTATTTCATATTTGCATATACTCTGAGAATGAATATTTATGTATTCTGAGGTGGGGTTTTTTTACCCCCCAAAAGAACATTTTAAAGAATTCACCAACCTTTAGGTAATTCCCAAGACTCTTTGGTTTCCATGGAGTTCCACTAATAACAAGATTAGAATAGGTCTTAAGATCAGTGATTACACATGAAATTGTAATTAATGAACAGCAATCTTCAGCATCCAAGAGAAAAGTCCCACTTCCAAGCTTTTTGAAAATACTAAATGCATGTCATCTGACTGTAGTTTATTCTAACCTTTATGTGATTCAGAGTCAAACCTTCTAGACTAACAGTAAAAAAAAGGTAATTAAATAAAATCACTCAAATAGTTTAATTTGCAAATGTGCATTTATACAAATATAGGCATTAAATTCCGATCAAGTATGGGAGATGCAATCTTTGCCTTTCTAGGATCAAAAGGGATTTAAAGGGATTTACAAAGGGCCAGGATTGTAGTCCAGCTTCTTAATACTGAGAAAACTTTTGTCAAGCAAAGAAGCTCAACAATTGGTCAGCTTTTAAATACAGTAGTGTAGAATCAGAATTCATTATCTCAAAGGAGATAGCAGAAGTTCTCTCACTGAAGAAAACATCTTCCTGGGAGGTGCTGTACACACGCGTTCCACCCTTTATTGTCACTACTTATAATTGTAAAGAAAAAGTGTAGTTTTATTCTACCTGGCTCAAAAGACAGAATGCTAATAAAGATGCAATACAAGCTCACAGAGCCCTGAGCATGTGGACAAACTCGTTTGGCAATGGAATTAAAGGAAATGCATGTTTGCATGACATGAATCCTAGCCTGAACTCCTCTATATTTCACAAGCCTGGGCTATCCACTGGAAAATAATTGTGTAGCAGTACTATTTTGTGATAACTGGTGCATTATTCCTTCAGTTCTTGTTTTTCCAAACTTCTCCACTGCAGCAGCAAAAAGAAAAATAAAAAGAACGGGCAAATATATGATGAGTTCAGTTTCTTCCTAGGCCAGAATACATCCATTGTCATATGAAGGACAAAAATGATGCTTTGGAGGAGAGCAGCTCTGTGATTTGTAATTTTTCTTCCCTTTTTAAAGAAAAAAACAGCTATTTTTAATCAGAACAGGAATCAGTAAGAACAAAACTGATGGAATTGAAAGTGGGAAGTTGTCAAGAAAAAATTCTATTAAATGCTGCTCAGTTACTAATAAATTCGGATTTGAATGAAAAATAAAACACTACCTTTAGTAATTTTGTTACCAAAGAATTCCTGTGTCAGTTGAATTTATTTACCTGCAGCACTGCATAAATGATGAATTTTTTGTGAGCCAGCACAGCTGATAAATAATAAAACAGTGATGTTAAAAGTAGCATTAAAAATCTGGAGGGAGTGATATTAGGTCCCCAATACTGAACTAAACTATTACTACAGGTAAAACTGAAAAAACTGTAGGTCCCAAACTGCAAATCCCTGTGAGCAGATATTTCCACAAACAGTTGGACTACAGTTCACAAAGCTGCTTAAGTGAGTAAGAAATACATACGCCAAACTCAAAACTATTTAATTTAATCTAATGTCTAAATGTCTTTCAGGGACACACAGATTTTCTTTCTAGGTTATCTTGATGGTCTTGAGCTGATGCTACAGGAAAATGCTAATCAAGTATATACTACACTGGAACATGCCTATTAGAAGTAAGCTAGAATGATGAAACCTGATTATTTCTCCTTCTACATATTACTATGTGCATGGGATCAGCCTTTGCCAATGTTGTTGACAGTGACTGTACTTCCAAGAATTAACTTGGATATTATTTTATCTTTGTAGAAGATTACAATCAAATGCATATGAGAGAAACTAGTAACACAGAAGTTATTGCTGTTAGCTAGTCTACTGATTTATAACCAGAAACTGAAATCTATTGTCCTGTGTTTTGAAGAAAGAAATATAAAAAATATAACATGGTTAAAAAACCCCCCAACAAAACAGAAAACTTCTTTTATATTAAATTCTACCTTCATGTCCTCATTTTCCAACCGACTCAGTAAGAGCTGTGCAAGCAATAACCAATGGAGCTAAGAGAAAGATATTTGAGGAACATACCTAAGTTTTTGTCTGACTTATTTTTTTCCCCAGGATTCTTGGCAGAGGTTTTTTTATAGCTTTCTGCATCTCAGACAAAACTAAAAAATCTGGTTTTCCTTTCACAGAGTGACTGTAGTGACAGGGAACAACAGGATAAAGTGTTTCCAAGTCAGCTGCAGAAAACAAACAAACAAGGATTAATTCAATATCCCAAGTCAAACCATATCTGTTTTAATACTCAGTATGATTGATCACAGGTTCCAATATATCTTGTTAAAGAAAACAGTATAATAAGCCTTAGGGTTATGCCTTGAATTTGATAATTGAGAATAGAAAACTTTGTATGAAATTATGGAAAGTGCTGCCAACACTGATGAAAGGGAATATTAAAGCAGGTATTCCCATTCAGGTAGTTATTGAAAGGGAGGAAATTCAATTACATAGCACCTCCTTATATCAGCAGTTATTCAGAAGACAGAATATTACTTTCAGAATTGTTGCCATTCATGTATGGCTTCCAAACACTGAATAAACTGCAACTTTATTGGGCCTGAGGCTGACAGGCTGACTGCTTTTTTACTTCATGTCTTCAGAAACAACTGATCTTCATGAGATTTCACGAATTAAAAATTAGTATGTATTAGTAATTAATAAATAGTGTGGTTATAAAGAACATGCTCTCTCCATTAAGCTACATATCACAGTTAATCCTTTGAAAGCAATAGTGTAACTTCTACCGGTTTTATTTGATAAATACAGTCACTCAAACCATTTTGAGTAATTTGAAGTCTAATGTCTACTACCAAACCCTGCAAGATGGCAAGACATGCTGGTAAGGTTTTAATCTGTAGTCAGCTCTGTAACAACAACCACCCCCATGTTTTGATAAAAAAAAATAAAAATCAAAGTTTATTTCAGGTTTTGCTTGAGTTTCAAAACTAATTTGTTTCCCACCTCAAGAACATGTTGCCTTTTCTTATAGTTTTAAGGCTTTTTTTCAGGAGGGTTTTCTTTTTTTCTAATCTTTCCAAGTTTAAAACTTTTACTTCTGCTAGACATGTATCTTGGGAAAACCTTTAGAAGGACTGTAAATCTACACAGACCAAATAAATACCAACAAATAAATTTTAAAAGTCTGATGTATTTCATGCACATTTATTCTAGAATGCCCCAAAATTTTGCTTTTATTTATTATTTATTTTAATATGGAAAGTAATCAGAAGTAATTACAAACATTCAAAATGTAGCTACTCTTTTCCATAATTCTGGGAGATTGGGATGGAAGGAAAAAACCACCGTATAAATTACTGCTAAAATCAAAGTTTATAATGGGAAAGTTCAGTTTCTTTTCCTGTGTTTGGTCTTGCCACCAATACAAGTCTTATTCTTAGTATCTTTACTGTTAGTTGCTCTTTTATTTTTGCTATAATATTACAAATAAGCATGAAGTAATTGATTAGTTTGCTTACATAAATGTAGATGGGCTGCATGCTCATTTGTCATTCTTTCTTTCTTTGTTTTCCTGGCAGCTTTGGAGGCTTTCCAATTCATTAGGAACTGTCTTTCCATTTCTTTAATTTCTTTCCCATCAAGGGATTCTGTCAAAGAGAAGTGAACATTTTCTGTGATACCCAGAGTTAACTAAAAGCCTGTGCAAAGATGTACGCAATGTGTACTCCTTCTTTATTTGCTCTCTTCAAATCTTTTTTGCTGCTTTTAGTCTTTTGGTAAAAATAAATAGCCAGTAAAGCTTGATACTGATATTCAACCTGCAAGAGTAAGTTGACATGTCTGAATTACAGACGAGAACATCTATTATTTTTATAACTTTCAAGGGAAATATATACATTTCATGTTCTGTTAGCATGCACCACTTTTTATGCTATGCTCTTACACGAGATATATCTAGATGCAGAAATTCGGGTTAAGAGAGAGAAACTGCATGTCTTGGCAATCAAGGGGTCCTACTGATCACAAAGACAGATAGTTTCGGCTCTTTGAGGTTAACTTTACTCACTTAGGTGAGTGTTTATGCTCTATGTTTCCTTGGTTGCATCTCCATTTTTGAGTCAGACCAAATGAAATACCTCATTTGGCCACAAATTTATGTTGTGTTAGAACTGTCCTAAGGCACAGTTAGTTAAACTGTGCAGATAAGCTTTTGCTTTTCCTTAAGGGCCAATATTTTGTACTCTCAGAAAAAAAGAAAAACAGGGTCTGTAATTACAACTTCTAAGATAATTGCCACCTTTATTCCAAAAAGTAAAAAATGAGCAGATAGGTTTTACTTTTTTCTGCAGCATGAATACTTCTGCAGCATGAAGACTAAATTACTGCCTTTATGCTAAAATTATCTCAAAATAATGTAACAGCATCACAGTAAGGTTAATAAATACATTCATCACAAGTGTAGATTGCTTTTAAGGACAAATGTTATATAACAAATTCAAACATGGTAAGGTACAGCCTGTACAACTGTAACTGTACAAATAAAACACGTAAGCAACTGCTACAGGCTGATAAGGGAGAAGACTAGACTTATCTTTGAGAATCATTTTCACAATGACTGGAATATGAACGCAGGAAAGTCTTATTGTTATAGCATAACAGGATCTTATGATAATAGAATTTTATTATAATAGCATAATAGAATAGAAAGTTTAGGTTGGAAAAGACACTTAAGATAATCAAGTCCAACTGTTAACCTAGCACTGACAAGTCCACCACCAAACCATGTACCAAGTACATTTACACGTTTTTTAAACACCTCCAGGGATGGTGACACAACCACTTCGCTGGGCAGTCTATTCCTGTAGATGACAACCCTTTCAGAGAAGAAATGTTCATCAGTGGCCCAGCTAAACCTGCCCTGGCACAACTTGAGGAACAATCTCACCAATCATCTATTGTAAAATGAATTATTACTTCTAATAGCAAAAGCTAAGCATCATGGTTTGTGCAGTTGATTACAGAAGCAAGCTTAGATACATTATCTGTACATAAATAAAACTATTATAATTTGACATCAATACCTATGGCAGTAATTGTATTTGCATACATAGTATGCAAGAATGATTAATATATCAGTTATGCTCTAAAACAGGGAGGGTTATGGATGGGTTTTGGGGATGGCTGTTGTTTTACCTAAAGTTTGTGACTGTACTACAATCCTGTCCCTGTACTTAGGCTTGTTGCAGATGGGGTTTCCTGCAAGTTCCATTCTGCGCAGCTTTGTCCATTTGTTTAATACAACCTCCAAATCCTGCAATTGATAAAAGAAGAGAACATTGTCATTATTTTTTCACTCTCCAGAGTAAACTTCAACAGTAATACTACTTGTTCTGTCAGGCCCAAATCCTGCACATAGAAATAACTTCAACGAGACTATTCATGTATTAATATGCACGTTAGCAATGTGTATTTTCAAGTACAGTGGTGTATAGCATTCTCTGAATATGTCAAAATTGCAAAGAAAAATGGTGATGCAGTTGGAAAACTCTGCATGATTATGCACACAGTAATACCAGCTATGGAAAATCACCACCTCAATCCCATTCATGAGCACCTAATGCTAAGGAATTACCAGCCAAAAAAAAAGTAAGATATGCAATGTCTGTTAATGTATCCCCATGGTTCCACAGGGCACTCAAGAGTATCAGTGTCTGATTATATATTGAAAAATCTGTGGAAGAATAAACACTTTACAGAGAAAGAACAGACTAAAAAAAGCTAAAATTGTGCAAACCACAGTAGGCTGCCTCACTCTATTTATATGTAAACATGTATTTTACAGAAGAAAGAGTAACACCCCCCCACATAACTGAGTGTGGTCGGTTACAGTATTGGCCCAAATAGTGAAATTTTTGAAATATACCTTTCTCCATCTGGGTTCCGTCTAGTTACTCAAGGGCAGTATGACCTAGATAAAATTTCTTCTGTCTTTTAAATACAATAAATTCAAGTTAAAAGGATGCAAAGCTTAGCAACTTGGTCCTTTCTACTCTACTACTTTCTAAAATACTTTTGTCTTAAAATTGCACTTAGTCATCCTTAACGGGCTTCCTTTTGTGTATGAAAAGCTTAAGGAGGGATTCAGAGCAATCCATATGACTGAAGGAGGAGAGAGAATCTATATTCTACATTTGTAATAATCTGGAAAAAAATCTACTGATCATGTTGTGACAGATTCTAAACTGCACAGTCTATAGAATTTTGTAGCTTAATGCCAATAATGAAGTATCAAACAACACAGGTATCACTAAAATTCTCCAAATTTAGAAAAATCACCTGGGTAATGCAAGTAAGGAGAATTCTGTTTTTGCAGGCCCTACTCCCTTGGTAGAAAATCCTCCTGGGAATATTCTGTGGGTTATATAACAGTGTTTAGAAAAATCATATGGAAGAGGAGGTGTAAGCAAAGCCTCACACCTCCAAACCATGTAATTTTTTGTCCATTGATATTATCTATCATCTATTGTTACCCAGTGACGATAAAGTCTTTTCTGAAAAACAGAGAGCAAAATCAGTTCTGTGAGGATCAAGACTGATAAAACAATGCAAGAAACTGAGGACCAGTCCACTGGAAGAAGCGTTGATAAATCTCATAATATTACACAAGAAAAGCTTAGTCAGCATGTATCAGAACAGCAATATGTATCAGATCAGCATGTATCAGAACAGTTTCGGTGCACAAATACAACATTTAGGGGAAAAATATTTCAGACTAGGGCTATTAAAAAAGAAATATCATTTAACAAGTGTATTTATTTATTCTTACCTGAGCATTCAGGCATTGTCACTGAACTCTGTAATGTGTTCTAGATTTTACTAGGAAGAATTTTTTCAAGTAATAGTTTTGCAACACAAACTTGTCTATTACTGAAATATAATGTATACAGTTTATCTTTGATGAATGTGTACAAAGAGTCCTGTAGATCTTTTTTTTAAGCTGTTACTTACTTGATAAATGACCCAGAACATGCTTACTCCAGTGTATGTTTATCTAAGAGCACACTAATCCTGTGCTGAAATATGATTACCCTTTCGATACGCTCTAGTTGTTCATTGCCTTCCTGTCTCTAATAAAGTGCTTTCACTTCCCAGCCTTTCAATAAGCTGTACTAAAGGGACCAGACACTCTTCTGGGCAGTCTCCGTTTGATAAATGATCATGTCATGCTATCACTTTGAGGTTTGCTACAAAATACTGACAAGCAAATTGTATTCCATTGGGGGTGGAGAAGAGGGGGAAGGGCAAGTGCCTTAGTAGACAGCTGTAGAGTTGGCATTAATGTTCTTACCAATTAATGATGGCCATTTAAGAATTGGTATTTGACCAGTATGCTCCAGTTTTTATCAGAAACGTCTAGTCCAACTGCCTGACTACATCTACAGACAGCAATTTGTCACCATTTTGATTACCTGTCATAATCTATTTGAGAAAATCTATAATTTTTCTCTTGTTCCTGACTCAATTCTGAAGAGAATGAATTCATCTTTTGTGATATCCTCTTGTCATAATCAATATTGGGCAGAGGTTGAATAAATTAAAGACTTAAGAAATACAGATTTTTGTAAGTAATTCTACCTGTATTTTCTCTATCTATCCAAATACTCACACAAGTCATACTCTTCCCAAAACTAATATAATAAATAAATACTATACTTTTTGTAAACAGGAAGAGTTGTGGGCATTTTCAATAGGAATAGTTGTTTGTTTTTAAATTCCCTTAGTATTCCAACCCCAAAACACTGGAGCTTAGAAGTCCTTGTGAACGTGTCTATAATAAACCAGAAGCTTGGTAGGATAAATAAATAAAGTAGCAAGCAATAGGAACCAAAGAAAAGCCAATTCTATTAAAATCAATTATATTCTTGATAAGTGAGCCAAGACATGCTTTCTACATGTGGTAGCTAGTCCTATTAAGTTAGACTGCATGAACTGAGAAAAATGACTTAATTTTGCTCTGTCTACATATAAATTCAGTCATGTGAAACAAGGTCATATGCCTTGATGTCTGTTAATTTTGCTAACAGTGCCCTGAATTAGCCAGAACTTCAAGTGCTTGAATTTCCTAGCCCAGATTTTCAATTACATCGAGATCAACATGGCCTTGTTGACAAGTGAAGGAGTATGGGTTTTTCTAGTAATGTGAAAAAATTCAGTTAAATGTTTAGATATATGATAATTCACCAGTTCTTTAAAAGTGAGAAAAGTCTACATGAGAAGATTGTATTTCATGCATTTCTTATGCCTTTCACATTTCCCTCTTTTGCAAAGATTCTGTATTATTCCTGTTGCCATCCACCTCTGCTACACAGCTCACTGCTGTTGACCAGCCCTGCTTGGCAATGCATGGCTCCTCTACAGCTTCTCTTCCCATGGGGTGAAGCAGAGCTGGGTACATAGCCTTCTGACACTTCTGTCATATTGCACTCCTATTGTCTCTGATCAATGCCAGGCATTCCTGGGGATGTTCTTGATGGCAGTGATGGGGAAGCAGGAATGGGAAGGCAGGGGACATAGAGCGTTTGGTGTGAAAAGAGGTATACCTAAGAGTTTTGAATACAGAGGGGCAAGAAGGAGGAGAATGGAGGCAGCTTGTGTGGGAATGAAAAACCCTTTGCTGTTTGTAAAAATTTCAGCCAGCAGAAGTGATTAACTATATGTAGTACCATGTATACTGAAATCCTTTCAGCTATCACAATTTAGAATAATGTGAGCCATGGAAATATGAAGTTCAGGGTTGCAAAAAAGTTGAAGCATACTTAATGCTTCCCTCAGCTATGTTTATTTTTAAACAGTTATTGGATATATAAGATTGTTCTGCTAGATGGTCACTCTGAGTTAAAGCCTTTTAAATAGAGCTTAAACTGCCTTTTAAAAAAATATTTTTCTTTTTCAGTACTGTCAGGTTGGTGTTTTCAATTTAAATAAGAGCTTATATTAGTGATAAGTAGAGCCTCCTAAAATGTAATCTCTAAACCTCAGTAATTGTAGCTGTAAAGTTGGATATCCAGCTGCACTGCTGTTAGACTGTAGCTGCATTAATGTCAGGCAGATTGAATATGGTCATTCATTTTATGGGTCTGCAAAAATGTGAAGAGAAATACACAATCTCCTCCATATTTGCAACTTGGAGACTGCTTAGAAAATGTTTTCTAAATTTACCAGAGCTTAATCCAAGTGTAACTGGCAGCAGCAGCAGCAGCAAACTCAAATGCTAGCCACGTAATTTTTCAAAAGCTGTGACTGTGTAACATGGAAATGTAAATGTCTGATGGCTTTGGATAAATATGAGCTCTGGTCTTCTTGATGATTAAATAATGAAATTTAATAATGATTAAATAATATATACACAGCTTCTGAATAATGCAGACTTTTTGTTCTCTCCTTGTTCTTTGTCAGAAGATACTGATTTTCCTTCTGAGACACTGAAAATCTCTGAACTGGCATCCTTATTCTTAAAAATAGTTGGTTCTTTGGCTAAGACAATTTTCTAAGATCATCACAACTGGAATATTTTGTATTCATAAGAAAGAAAACAATACAATAAAAAAATCTGTAAAAAAACATGGTAATGTGTTTTATTTAGAAAAGAAATCCTTTTCAAAAGGAAAGCTTCAGACATGACCTATTTAAGAAAGCTTACTGTTATTTTGTATGTAACTAACACATTCAATATGGCTTTAATTACCCATCAAAAGCCTACATTAATTCTATTTCGATATAAATTCAATCACAACTGCCAGCCAGAAACACAGCTTGAAATGCAATACATTAATAATCCTCTTGTAAAAAAGAAATGCATTGTTCAACATTTTAAAATAATAAAATGCAACAAATTAAGTCCAAATAAAGTACATTGACTTAGAGAGCTGATAGATTATGCAATAAAATACTGAAATCTCCTCATCAATAAACAGAACTGGCAAATTTATTACGTGTTGTAAGAAGTAATAAGAATAGTTATTTTAATAATTACTAACCATTAAAAGTTAACTTTTCTAAGGAAATAGGATGCATATGCAAACCAGTAATGCAAACCATTAATTATTTTAATCATGGCTTTTTCTTGGTGGTTTGGGTTATTATTTAAGCCAAATCATTTTAGTATTTATTAATAAAAATATAAATTTAATAAAAAGCAGAACACTCATGTCTATGGTTTATATCAAGTGAAAACAGTGTTTATTAAGTTATTTATAAAAGTTTGTTCCATGCCTCTACCATGCAATGATGGTGACAGATAATGTTCAACAGAAATATGATATTCAGTTACTGGCATGACACTAAAATTATTTTTTAAGTGTTCTTTATGTCAAGAAGTAGAAGACATGTTAACTTATAAAGATAATGAGAAGTGACAAGGCCAATTCTCCTGTTCCTTTTTGAGAAGATTAGCTGGAAATTTTAAGTGTAGAATATTCTGTTCAAATCACATGTATTACTGCAAAAGAGAGTGAAAATACTTTTATTTCACTTGGTTTCACTTGGCTGTGACTGTGGAAGTTTTGAGTTTCTGCTTATGAAGACATGTCTTTCCTTAGCAGAAATTCGTATCACCCATACTAAACAGAACAAATATTTAGTACCTTGATATGTCGAAGTTGATTGTCAACTGCTCTAAGATAAGAAAGATTTTCCAAAACTGCCAGTTCGTCTAATTCATCAATGTTGTTATTGCTGATATTCAACACAGACAAAGATTTCTGGAGGAGGAAAAGCAGAGAAAGAAAATATTTTTTGTCATGCCAATCATGAGTAAAGTTATAAATTCATACAGAAAATTCTCTTAGAGCAGGAACAAGCATATGAAGCAGAAACATGCAAATACAACAACCACATATCTCACGCATTGTTTTATGTAGGCTTTCCATATTGTCCTAAAACACTGTTTATTTTCGAGTCAAAGCAAAACAAGATTATTTCTCAATTACTTCAGGAATTCTTAGTGAATACAAAATTTTTATTTTTCTCTAAACATGTTCAAATGCTTTACAGTTCTGTGAATGCTACTAACTCTATATTTGAAGTATGAAACAGACACAGAAATTGACTGCTTTTACCAAGGTTAAGTCTGAACCGCATAAAGCTGAAATCCATGTCTGATGCCTACCTCATCTTGTTTAATGGCTTGCCTACGCTGTTTTCCTTTCAGGCTTAAACTTAATAACTTCTGGGTATACATACATCTGTTCCTTGTTCCTTCTTTGGAACACTAGTGAGTCACATAATGCACTTTGTAACAGATAATAGCTAGAGAGATCTTTACATTCTAGATAAAATATAAATGGGTTTCAGGTAGTACTTAATGTAGTTTCACTTGAAAAGAACAAGAAGCTTCTATCTTCAGAAGATTAAAACTGACACCTATTCAAGTGAGGTTAAAATTATACCAGATATGGGATTTACCATTAGTTACAAAATGTCCTTTTCAGCAATGTATATAGGAAATGGAACCCGTTAAAAAATCTGACCAAGGTCTACATTGCAGGCAGAGATTACCATAATCACCCCGATATGCACAGTGCATAAACTTAAACTCCTCAGTCAAAAGAGTCATTATATTGTCATCATCCAAACATTTGCTTCTAGTACACAGAGAACTATATGGCCCCATGATTTTTGCTCCTTCATCTCTGATAGCATTAAGAGCCAGAAACAGAAGATGATAAAGTAAGAAGTGATGTCTTAAAGATGGACCAAACACTTCGCACTTGAATGATGAAAAATAGAATGTTTTCACATGTAGCTTTCACAAAGATGTTACGTGGTCAAGAATGCAAAGTGCTTCTTTCAAAACAAAAAACAAACCCACACCAAAACACCTTAAACAAAAGCCATGAAGAACTAAATGCTAGTGATTCTAGGCCAGGATGCTGAAAAACACTGAAGTATCTGATTTATCATCCTGGGAAAATATTAGCTCTATAACCTCCCTCTACTTTCATAATATAGAAGGAACAAAATAAAAGTGCTCTCACAGAAATGACTTGTTTCTATTAAAGGAAAATGGCAATACATGTCTTGGATTACTTAATCTCAAAACAGAAAGAATTAGAGCCAGATCAAATGTTCATGACACACACATGAACAGAGGGACTCACTTTTCAGTGAGTGCTTCATCTTCACAAAAAAAGCCCCCTCATCAAGCCCTGACTACACTTTGGGAGATACAGCAAGATGAATATTTTTAGTATAGAACAACATCCATTCATAAGTAAAGTCTAATTTTTTAACCACTTCAAGGATATATTTGATGTTTAATGTGTTGAAAGAACTTCAGAAGTTGGCTTTCCTGAAGCCTTGATATAACACAACATAGAAAAATTGCACAACTAAAACTGAGTATTTTTGATTGTGTTGCTGTTAATATCCAGAATAAAAGCTGTTTACACTTCTTTTTTTGCCATTGTACTCTCTAGAGAAATACAAAAGGAAGTAAATAAACTAATATAACAACAAACTGACTACAAATTATGTAGACTGAGATAACTAGCAGTTATAAATTCCTACCCCTTTTTATTCACATTATGTTATATAGGTATATGGCATTCACATTTTTCCTTACTTCCTCTCTCTCTTTATTCTCAATTCCATCCTCGATAGAAAAGTAAATGAAGAAGTAGAATCTGTTGGGCTCCTTGCTTATATAAAAATTGGAATGGGAATCCCTTGAAAGAATGCCACCAATTGGCAGAAAAGGAAACCACACGGAGATCAAGCCTTAATGACTTTCTTTAAAAAGATTGAACTACCGATTAACGGCTCACTGAAATTCTCAGAATGTACTTACTGCCAGGGACCTAAGAGATCTTGGATCAAACAGAAGCTTTTCACTATGGGGGAGATGTTGACTTTCAATATGTAGCTCCCTTATTTCTTCTATTTTATCCAGACCTTCTACTACAGTAATGTAGTTGCCCCCCAGATACCTGCAGAATAGAACACAAAATAGATTTAATAGCCTTTGACAGTAAAAGCGAACACAGGGCCTCAATATGTTAAAAAAAATTAAATGTTATTGAATAATACCTTGGAATTATAATAGAAAAAGTAAATAACCTAGTATGTGAGTAGAGCATACAGCTAACAAACAGATCCAAGGGGTTTTAGCTACTTTATCTATTGCTATTATTATTTTCATAATAATAATAATTATTATTAAATTGCTGAAAAATGAAAACAATTTAAATGTAAATAAGTATGTTACGATGATGTGTTATTACTTACATCATAGAATGCTTCATTAAAAAAAAGCAATAACTTTTATTTGAAAAGCAAAATTTAAGAGCCCAAAGGACCTTAATGGCTACATAGTATTTAATTTCTTAGTGTAATTATTATTATTTTACTAGTGAAATAAATACATTGTTTTCAACTTACAGCTTTTCAAGTTTTTTCAGTGATGAGAGATTTTCCATACAGGAAATACAATTGTTCTGAAGGTAAAGGTGCGTTATGTTTGAAGCAAAGTCCAAGTTCTGGATTTGACTGATTTGGTTATCATATAAATATAGAACTCTAAGATTTTTGCATGAAGAGAGGTCACCCTGAAATAAAGAATAACAAATTAATTCTATGTAGGAGTTCATTCACTGCCTGCTTCTGGAAGCTGTTTATTGGTTTTATATTTATGTTCTGCTTCATGGTTTATACTTTTTCACCTTTAACTAACACTTTTAGCAACTTTTTTTCCTAGAAAGGCTAAATGTCAGTAATCATCAGATTAAGACTGACATCCATCTATTACTGTTCTGCTGTACACAAGCTGAGGACTACCGAAACCATCACAGTTATGTACATGTTTGCCTTCATGAGGTGGATTTTCAGAAAAGTTAGTGTAGTTGGCTGTGCACATTCCTAGGAGTGGGCTGAATAAACCCATTTGCTTGCATGGCTCTGTTCACATAGAACAAGCTATTTTATCTTGACTGAAATCACACTTTTAAAGCGGAAATCTACCATACACAACAATTCAATTGTTCAGGGTTCATCAATTTCAGAATGTGCTCAGTATCTTCAGGGGATTTGAATTAACTCGGGACTTACTGAAACCTGTCTAAATTTCCTATTATTAAACTCAAAGGAAGAAGGACTGGATTAGGCTTGCAGGTTTAGTCTTTGAAAATGGAAAGGTCATGGATTATTTTTTAAATGAATAAGCCCCAGGGAGCAATTTATAAAAAAAAAAGTAGATTTTAACCTGACTAATTTGAAAAAGCCACCACACCAGTCTGAATCTGTTAACCTCACTTGGCTTATATCCTGTTCTTGAACTCCCCTTCCCTTTCTTGGACTTCCTCTGAAATCTAAGGAATAAATCAAAGATAGATTGAAAAGATAGTGCTGTGAGTTAACAACTCTTTGTACAAAGTCCCAAGACTAAAAAAATATAGCATTAATGAGGCTAAAGTAAGTGTTACACTTAATTGTACGTTCAGCAATACTGCTTCCTTAAAAAAAAAATTTCAATCTGATCTGCAAAATTTCTCATTATTACATCTTCTTCTATTTCACAGTTTGCATTTTTATAAAGGTAACCATCAAGAAATACAAATATTTAAATTAAAAAACAAAACAAACAGCAAACCTGCTGAAAATATGAACTTTGGTTTTAACCTCAGACCTGAAGTCTCCAAGAACACTGGAGCTAGATTTCAACAGGGCTAAAGCACTGCTGGCAAAGCCCTGCACCTACTGATTCGATGGCAACAGCCTGAGTATATTGTATAGGAAAAGTGTCAGGTCTAAATGATTAATTTGAAATACTTTTTCTGAAGTGGCTAAAGAGGTAAGCAAGTTGAATTATTTCCATTCTGGTGACTTCCTGAAAGGTCCTTTAAAATGCAGCAACTGTACGAAATAAAATAAAACAGCAAATTTTGTTGTATTTTATGATATTTTATTTTTAAGAGCTGCAAATTTCTGTTATAGAACTGTGAAATACTGGAAAAAAAATACTTAATCACCCTTGTGTAACTACTTATATAGATTTTCTCTTTAACTAATGGCAAAAATAGGGTACCGATAATACTCTTCTTGTCTGCTATACAGATGATATAAGTTTCCACAGTTTGAGATAAGTAAAATAATTTAACAAGATTTTTGGCACATAAAGAAAAATGTGTCAGGTCAATAATAACAAATGCTGCAGACTGTTGGAGCTCCAGTCACTTGTTTTGATGTTTTATATGAAAAGTTACAGCTGAAAGATTATTTTCACATTTCAAATGCCATATATTTAAAATCTATTTAAACACTGTTATGTACAAGCAGTGTTCCACACAGTAACAGGAGTGAACACTAAAGCATGTTTCCAAACAGATGCATGATTAAGGCTTAGTTACAAGACAATATAAATGTTTAAACGTAATATACCTGTTAGAAAATAGAAATTTGTTTTATTTGTCTCCCCACCTATAGAAAATTCATCATATCAGTAACTACAAAACATATGAATAGGTAGGTTAAAAGGAACAAAGAAAAATAAATCTTACAATTGCATCTATATTTTTAGCTGATAAATTCAGATGAGTTATTTTTCGCAGGTACTGCCCAAAGTCCTCTTCACTGCGATTCTTGTGACTGATACTTCTAGCAATTAGGTCCACTGTCAGTTGAACCATGATTTCTTAGTAGGCCAAACTGCTCTAGCACCACTTTTAATAGTGTATTCCATGTGCTCTTCTAGGTGGCTTTATAAAATGCCTTAAAAATGAAAAAGGAAAATGTTATACTTGTACCCCAGATCTTCAGCAAAGCTTACGTATATACTTCAAATCTGTTTCCTCACCAATTCCCTTTTGCTTAGTAACACATTTATATGTAGTCTTCGCTGCTTATAAGACCCTATCCATTTTTTGCTGCCATTTTTTCCAAGCTTATTGTTATATTTCACCTGCTGCTTCAGTGTGCTTAAGTAGGTTGTACCCTAGTCTTCATCTTTTTGATACAGAAATCTGAGCAAAATGGTCCACAGCTGAAATAATTCACATAAATAACTAATTAATGGCAGCTCATAACCTAATTATTAGTTAGAAAGCACATAACTCTGTATAGCAGGTTTTACAGGCTTTGAGAAGTAGTATAAAGCTAAAATACTCTTTATACAGCTGCACAACCCTTTTGTAATGCACAAAATTGCTCATGCATTTGTTATGCACAGTGAAAAAATGTGCTTTTTTTTGCACTGAAGCAATACTGTAGAGGCTCTCACAATACCAGTGTTTTGGGGTTTATTCCCTTTTTAAACTCTGGCCACTGTTCCACGTGAGCTTCCCCTGATTCACATGTTCAAACTGGATGGGGATAAAACTGGTCTAGGGATAAAAATATCCTCACAAATACAATTAACAACTCAAAATAAAAAAGTCGCCTTTTCACGCAGTATGTAATACAATGTACGTGTTATACTGTAGCCAAGACATAATGCCCCCCCCTCCCCGCCTTCAATGTATAAAAACAACCGATGAGGCAGCAAAAAACATCCCAACACTAAAGCTCATGCAGTCACATAAACCAAGGCACGGAGAATCCTACTTGCCAGTACTACGTTTATGAGAATCTGAGGAAAAGCCAAGACTGAAACTATGAAGGCAGAAGAAACTTCCTTACTTACTATGCCAGATGGAAGCTCAGCAGTCGTGTCCCCCCGTCCCCCGTCCCCCCCCCCTTATTCATGCTAATTTTTTAAGGTGAGGGAAGAGGGAAAGCTGAAAAGGTTTCTGTTTGGTTTGGGTGTGTTCTTTTTCTTAACTGTGTGTTTGTTTCTTGCTTTTTAAATAAAAATATCTCTCAGTGTCCTTTCTCATTCCTTTCTCCAATCCAAGCAATAGCAGCAGAGAGAAAGCCTGCCTGCAGGCCGGGGTCTTTGAGTGAGGCCATCTCCCTCGATCCCCCCAGCTCTCACAGTCTGGAGGGGTGTGTGTGTGTTGCACTGTCATCCCTCCCCCCCCCCTCCCCCGCACCCATCAGAAGGCCCAACGACAGGGACCAACCGCCACCCAGCACAACCAGCGGGAAGACTGCTCTGACCTCCCCACCCGTAAGCCGAGAGAGAGGAGTGGCAGCAGCCAGGACCAGCTCCCGAGGCCTGTCCCAGAGGAAATCACCCCACAGCCTCCGCCGCCCCGCTCCCCCCCTCACCTCCCAGCAGCAGCGGCGGGACAGGAGCGCACCTCCACCCCCCTGGTTGCCACGGCAACCCCACGCCAATAGCCGAGGGGGCGGAACGCTCCCGCCGCCGGCTGCGGCGCGCGCCCAGAGCACCCAATCAGCGTTGAAGAGAGACCACAGGCGGGAAGGGCGGGGTCAGGAACGCGCGTATGACACGGCTCGGGCCCGCGGGGTCGTCGATGTCACCGGGGGGGTGGGGGCGGTCTGAGGGGTGCAGTGGGGAGGGGGCTGCTGGGGCTCCGTCCGTGTGCGGCCGTGCCTCCACTGGCAAAACATTGTGGTGCTGTAGCGGGTCCATAAAGGGGCAGCAAAGGTGGTGGAGGGCCTGGAGCGCAAGTGTGATGAGGAACGGCTGATGGAACTGGGATGTTTAGTGTGGAGAAGGCTCAGGGGGGACCTTATTGCTCTTTAGAACTACCTGAAAGGAGGTTGTATTGAGGTGTAGGTTGGTCTCTTCTCCCAAGTAACAAGCAGTAAGACAAGAGGTAATGGCCTCAAGTTGTGACATGGGAGGTTTAGAGTGGATATTAGGAAAAATCTCTTCACAAAGAGGGTGATCAGCCATTGGAACAGGCTGCCCAGGGCAGTGGTGGAATCACCATCCCTGGAAGTGTTCAAAAACCGTATAGATGAGGCTCTCAGTGGTATGGTTTAGTGGTGGACTTGGCAGTCCTGAGGTAACGGTTGCATGTGATGAGCTTAAACGTCTTTTCCAATCTAGCTGATTCTATGGTTCTATAAGGCCCCTTCTGTGCCCACAGGAGGGAGCTGGGGTGGGGGTTGCTTTTCAGCCTGCTATGGGCCTGGCTACACCTCTGAGGACTAATCCTCTGGGGTTGTTCCTCCCCAAGTACAGGTTGGGGGCTGACCTGAGCAGTTCAGCTAAGAAGGACCTGGCAGTACGGGTGGATAAATTGACTATGAGCTGTCAGTGTGCCTTTGCAGACAGGAGGGCCTATAGTATCCTGGGGTGCCCTAGGAGGAGTGTGGACAGCAGGTCAAAGGAGGTGATCCATCCCCTCTACTCGACCCTGGTGAGGCTACATCTGGAGTACTGTGTCCAGTTCTGGGCTTCCTTGTACGAGAGACAAGGAACTGCAGGAGAAGGTCCAGTAGAGGGCCACAAGGATGATCAGGGGTCTGGAGAGATTGTGGGAGCTCGGCCTGTTTGGTGTAGAGGAGAGAAGACTGAGAGGGGAACTCATGTTCCATTTCATCTTTGTATAAAGGTATAAAGTGTCCATCCTTCCAACTTCAAATTTCCTATATCCTCTCTGAGGATACATAAAATGTCCTTATTTCTGTGGTGGAATCCAAACTGAGCATGCCCTGGAGCTGCTTATTCTGGGAAATGTTTCTCTAAAAAAAATATGTTAAAGTTTTAAAAGTTAATTTTGGACTTTCTTCTCCCTCATGGCTGTAGATTTTGCAGGTGTCTGGGACTGTCTGTGAGTAATTTGATTTAAAGGCAGAAAAAGCTATGAGAAGTTTCAGAGAGAGTATTTATTCATTAAGATTTGAAATAGGATTCTCATCTGGTGGCACAGAATATTAAACAATCATCTGTGTACTCTCCAGGATGGCAGTAATTTGGCTCAGTACAAGAAGTCCTTGTCTTCCAGAAAGTTTTGGAAATACCTGGGTAAAATAATTGATGGCTGTATTTCTTATGGTTCCAGACTGGAACATGGAACTGAGTTTTACTTTTAAGGACATAAAACACCTTTAGAGATCCTCCCTTGCATAAGCACTGCCACAGATTTTGCATAAAGCTATTTCTGTGTATATGGATTCTATATGTGGGGTGTGTCATATAACGAGTAAGACAAATATCCTTAGAAGATACTTACACTTCATTGTAAAACATTAAATTCAAGCCTAACAATTTCTGACAGTCTTTTTCAGGGTCAGATTTCAATCTTTTTATTCACCCTTTTTCCTGAGTATCGCGTCTTTATCTTTTGTAGCTAGACAACTATATAAAAAGGAATCCACACAGTTTCTTCAGCATAGTTGTTTTAGAATGTAAAACGTATGACACAACTTTCTCCACTGAATTGAAATTTGTTTTGGTTTTTTAATGTATTTAAAGGTAGCAAATGCAAGGTTCTCAAAAACAGGGCAGAGCAAATAGCGCTTTAATTTCAACAAACTTGCAGAGAGCTGTACTGAAATATCTTTGTCTGAAAAATAAAGCTGTGATCCATTAAGTCTGATGTTGTCGGCCTGGTTTCTTCACGATGTGGTGCTTATCCATTCTTCGTTAAGCCACAGCCCAACAGACGTAAGAGAGAGCTGGAGCAGCGTGGACAGCCTGTTACAGACCTGGGCGTAGGAACTCCAGCTATGACCCATGAACCTTGTAGTTACAGTCAACAGCAAGTAAAATGCTGCAGTAGAGAGGGCATCATTATTTTTGCTGCTCATGAATAATAATCCTAGTAAATATGTAGTTTCCTCAGTTTTGTCCATGTCAGACTTTTTCTGAAGTAGGTGCACGGAGCCATAACTCTGCATTTATGTATTTTTATCTTTGAAGTGGTTTAGGTGAGACAGGTACATGGATCATTACTTATGTAAAGCCTTAGCCTTGCAGGCAGTGCTTTAAGCTGTCAGGCTTGTTCTGTTGCATGACAACTACTTGACAATACCTTTTGATTTTATTTGAGCAGGAAACTACAAAAGTTCTTCACATTATGTCTGCAAATACAACTAAAATCAAGCTAAAATAGGTCCACTACCAGACAAGGCCTAAAACCCAATATGGTTTAATTATTATCATAAAACTTTCAGGTTTGTTATTAGTACAAAACTGTTATCATCATTAGTATTATTGGCAGGTGCCAAAAAGTGAAATAGCCTTTCTGCATTTCCCAGCATTAAAATCCATTAAAGCCTGGATGTAAAAGTGAAGGTATTAGAAAACTGCTTGTTAGGACAAACATTTAATCTTCATAATGCTTATGATGGTGTTTTTTTTTTTTTTAATGAACAATGTATCTTACCTCCAGCAGAGACTACAGGGTTGATTTGGGAAATGCAATATTCTGTTTCCAAAGATAAGTGATGAGAAATAATTCAAAACACACTTTAAAAATTTTCACCGTAGAGAAAATAACAGCTTTCCAAATATTTTAATGAGGTTTGACAGATGAACCAAGAAGAGAAAATAAAAATTACATGCTGCTATTACTCAGACACAGACAGAAGACATAATGGTATCTCAGCATTATTTTGTCCAACTCTGTATAGACAGCAAATCTGAGTATTCACACAGTCCTTTGTTCTTAAACAGATGTAAGATGCTGTTTACATGTTATTTGTCCCTGGCTGGTATTTTATGTAAATATTGTGTTAAACCATTTTTGCCACTTTCAGAATTTTACCTCGTTGTCATTAGAATTTTTGAAGTGGAAAAGGAAGATGTTCCACAAAAACATGGTATAATGAGAAGCTAATTTGGGGTTTGTATCACCACATACAATACATACATCTCATTTAAGATGGAAGAATATCTGCTCTTCTAGTGCCTCTGAATTACTCCAGTTATATCTCCAGCTTCGTGGAGACTAAAAATGCCTCAATTAGATTGAAAATAAAAGCCCAATTCTAACCTAAAATGCTATAGTAAGTGAATGCAACTTGTTTTCAGATGGAGAAGAAAGTTCAGATGGTTGTAATTACTAAAGACTGCATGCCATTAGATGCAGCCCCATAAATTAATTTCCTTTTATAATAAAGTAATGCCACTGCAGTTACACACAAGCCCTAAGGTAATTGGGTCTAAACCAAACAGAAATTCACACAGGAAACGGTGGACAAATTACACAGGAGTTGAAGACATGTTTCAGCTGAAAATGAAGAGTTGCTGATACAATATATTTACAATCCCCTCAAAGGGATTAGGCATTTCCTATCTGAGATGATCTAAATAGACAAACTATACAAAACAGGGTAACCGTTCTTTGCTAACAGCAAGAATTGTTACTTATATTTATGGTAACGTCTGACAAAGTCGAGATGTAGTGAAAATAGTAGTACTTACATATCCTTTTTCATCCGTATTTTAAAAAGGCCAATGATCAATCTTACTGTTTTATAAAGGAAAACAGACACTAGCTCTGGCAAAAATGCCTTGCTAAAGCTTATGCACTCCTAGTTTGTGAAAAGTCAGGAAGAAAACCCAGTTCTCCTGAGATGCAGTCCTATGACCTCTCCACTGGACCATGCTACTTCCCAGAATACTGTAGTTTTCAGAAAGCCCTGTATGAAGCAGTTTTTCATAATTAAAAACAAACCAAATGTCAGAGCAAATCTTTCATATGTTAGAAGTTTCATCTGAGGGTCAAAATTAGCTTTCCTAAATTACATATTTCCTCATGGATATTATTCCTGGGCTCTGAAAAGTAAAACTAGAGCTCATAAAAAATACACCCTGAGGAACAAGATACTTCATTAATTTCTTAAAGGTTTAGTGTAATTGTTTTGAACTCCAGAAAAATCCTTCAACTAAATGGAGACTCTCTGATGTCAGCTCTTCAAGACAATAAAAAAATTCTATGTGCATGCAATTAATCTTATGTATAACCACCTCATATTTTAACCATTTTCACCTCTTAGGGACTTGTGCCCTTAAAATGGTGCTAGCTCAACTCAGTCGTATTTAAATTTTGTCTGGTTTTGTACTTTTTAAAGTATTTGTTTTGTCATTTTACCTTAATCCAGTTTATGGTGTGATATACAAAATCTTTTATATTGGGATTTCAAGAAATACTTTAAATATTGTAGATAAACATGTTAACTCTATGCTAGTAGTGTAATTTTATGCTAGTAGCATAAAATCCAATTCTGATTTGGACTTTCGGGGGCACAGAGATAAAAATAGATTAAATAGTATGTTCATCAAAAGAAAGTAACATACCAAGCTTATTTTAAAGCACTGACCTAAAATTTAAAAGATCTCCAAAATAAGTAATTGTTTAATTATGTTTAGCGTTATTTTTAACCTTATAAACAAAATAGTATCATGTTAACTATTAGCTTTTCATTTTGGATTCTTGTGGATTTAATAATCAACAGCAAGTAATCAACTGGCATTAACCTTCATAATAAACACAGAAGTACTATAGAAGCACTGTATGCCTTGGGGCTACATGCTACACTATACAGGAGTGATCCAGTACCCAAGTTCATGGCAATCTTACACCTTCTAGAGCTATTGCGTCTAAAGCTACTGTGAAGTTTCATGAAACACTAGACAGGTTAAGATAAAAACAAAATATCCAAAACCAGATGCAGTTGAAGCTTCATGAAGGCACAAGTGATAGAAATGCAAGAAAATCACACTTGATTTACTAAATAGAATCATAGAATAGTTAGGGTTGGAAAGGACCTTAAGATCAAGTTTCAACCCCCCTGCCATGGGCAGGTGCACCTCGCTCTAAACCATATCACCCAAGGCCTTGTCCAGCCTGGCCTAGAACACTGCCAGAGATGGAGCATTCACAATCTCCCTGGGCTACCTATTCCAGTGCCTCACCACCCTAACAGGAAAGAATTTCCTCCTTATATCCAGTCTAAACTTCCCATGTTTAAGTTTTAACCCATTACCCCTTGTCCTATCACTACAGTCCCTAATGAAGAGTCCCTCCCCAGCATCCCTATAGGCCCCCTTCAGATACTGGAAGGCTGCTATGAGGTCTCCACGCAGCCTTCTCATTTCTAGGCTGAACAGACCCAACTTTCTCAGCCTCTCTTCATACAGGAGGTGCTCCAATCCCTTGATCATCCTCGTGGCCCTCCTCTGGACTTGTTCCAACAGTTCCATGTCCTTTTTATGTTGAGGACACCAGAACTGCACACAATACTCCAAGTGAGGTCTCACAAGAGCAGAGTAAAGGGGCAGGATCACCTCCTTTGACCTGCTGGTCACGCTCCTTTTGATGCAGCACAGGACACGGTTGGCTTTCTGGGCTGCAAGCGCACACTGCTGGCTCATGTTCATTTTCTCATTGACCAGCACCCCCAAGTCCTTCTCCGCAGGGCTGCTCTGAATCTCTTCTCTGCCCAACCTGTAGCTGTGTCTGGGATTGCTCTGACCCAGGTGTAGGACTTTGCACTTGGCATGGTTAAACTTCATGAGGTTGGCATCAGCCCACCTCATAAGCGTGTCAAGGTCCCTCTGGATGGCATTCCTTCCCTCCAGTGTATCAACCAAACCAAATAGCAAGTTTAAGAGCTCATTCTATTTAATCTGAGCTCATGTGCACAAACTGTCATCAAAGGCAAGTTAAACAGGAGAGTCCCTTGTATAAGAGTCTGAAGAGACACATTGTGGGGTAAGGAGAGTTTTCCAGGGAATATCAGCTAGATGGTTAACAGATCTGTTGTAGCCAGCTCACAGCTGCCTGTTATTCCAGCACCAGAATCAAAGATAATTTATGAAAAACTCAAGGAATATTTCTTCTGGCCTGGTGTGAATGTGAGACAAGGGATGACTGAAAAACTTGTGACACTGCTCAAAGGAAAAGATTAAGGTTAACCTTTTTATTAGCTTTCTTTACAGGAAAAACATTTCGAGTCAGTGAGGTTGTTCATACAAATATTGCTTGTCTTCGTTCAAAGGAGAAGGAATTCTGGCAGGACAGTGAAGCACCTTTGACTGTTCCAGTAATCAGGGAATAAATCTGCAAGGGTCTTATTAAGGCCTGTGCATGATAAAGGCAAACTAGTTCCTTATCAGGAAAGACACCTTAGTCCTTAGGATCTGATTGCTCCAAATAAGCATGTATTTCTTTGGATTTTGTTGAAATTAGAATGCATAAATTGTTTAAAAATGCAATTTGCATAAATGAACAAGCTGAGGACAACTTGAAAAAGAAAACCAGAACAGGAGGTAAGTTCAAACATGATTCAGCATTCCATAATTTTAGTATCTGCTGGCAAATAGTGTTAGATGAAATTAATTGTGGTCACTGAATTATTTATTAAAATGTCAAAGGCATTCTGAATTTCTGTAAGCATGCTTGTCTTAAAAATCTAAATGAAGAGAATCTATTTGCATGTGCTTTACTCTGTACTGAATTACTTTAGCCATCACAGTCATTACCTGGTATGTGGCACTCATTTACATGAATGAATTTCTAAATAAAAAGCAGGTGCAAATGTGGAAAAATGAACTCACATTTGTTGTTATACAACATGGATTGTT